TAAAGATTACTACAGTATTTAGCACATCATAACCTTAATGACCTCACCAGAAGGCTTAAGATCTCTACAGTATTAAACACAACCAAACCTAAATAGGTTTGACAGTAGGCATTCACATTCTTCTCACATGTAAAAAATTATTGCTTGTCTTTTTAGTCTGATTTCATATGGACTAAGAAAGGCTGTGAAAGTGGCTAAGAGGCGCTACAGGGACAAAGTGGAGTCGCATTTCCAACACAGCGAGCCCCGACGTATATGGGACGGGCTACGGACAGTTATGGACTATAAACCCAGCACTGTGAGATGCATGAAACCGGAATAAGCTGACGACCTCAATGCTTTCTTTGCGCGTTTCGAGGCGCCTGCTATGGCGGCTAATCAGAGAGCTGCATCCGCCCCTGCTGCTGAACTGGCACCACTAACACTCTCTGAGCATGACGTGAGGAGTGCTCTGAGGGCCACTAACTGCAGGAAGACAGCAGGACCAGATGGCATCCTGGGACGTGTACTGAAGGTATGTGCAGATCAGCTGGCCATGGTTTTCACCAACATCTTCAATGCCTCCCTGGCCCAGCAGGTGGTCCCTACTTGCTTTAAAACATCAGTGATTGTCCCAATACCAAAGAACAACCGCCCAGCCAGCCTCAATGACTATCGTCCGGTAGCCCTGATGTCTGTGGTGATGAAGTGCTTCGAGAGACTCATGAAACCCATCATCAGCTCCTTCCTTCCCTCCAACTTTGACCCGCTACAATCTGCATACCGGACAAACAGATCCACCGGAGATGCCGTCGCACAGGTCCTGCACTCCACACTGAGCCATCTTGATGAGGGATGTGGTAATTATGTGAGAATGCTGTTCATAGACTACAGCTCAGCATTTAACACCATAATCCCCCACACCCTCTTGGATAAGCTCCAGGACTTACGTTTCAGTACATCTTTGTGCAAATGGGTATACAACTTCCTGACAGCAAGACCACAGACAGTGAGAGTAGGGGATGTGTACTCCCGTTCACTCACACTGAACATACCTTGGTGTCCACATCAATGAGTACTTCACCTTGAGCACACACACAGACTTCCTCATCACTAAAGGCAGACAGCGCCTCTATCACCTGAAGTGTCTAAAGGGGTTCAAGATCTCCAACAACATCCAGAGGAGATTCTATACTGGAGTCACTGAGAACATCACGGTGTGGTATGGGAACTGCACTGTACAGCAGCAGAAAGCCCTGCAGAGGGAAATGCGCACAACGGAATGCACCATGAGAACCTCTCTACCAGCCCTGCAGGACAGCTATGCTGAAAGGTGCAGATCCCGGGCCACCAGGATCACTAGGGACTCCAGCCATCCCGCCCACAAACTGTTCAGGCCACTGAGGTCAGGGAAACTCTGCAGCCTGAAGTCAAGAACTGAACGGTTTAGGAGGAGTTTTTACACACAAGCAGTGACTCCTCAACCACAGCACATAACGGATAACGACACACACACACAGTCTATCCAGTTCAATAACTTTAAATATTTGCATATCTGCACTTTATGGCACACCTACACCTATCTTTATTGTGATATTAACATAACCTGCTACTATATAAATGGCTGGATGATTAAATGGATTTTTGTTTCAGGAATGTGACTCAAGAGCTCAAGAGAATTGGCCGCAATACATCCTTTCTCCACATGATGGAAGCAGAAGAAAATATTTTTTATGCTTCTGTCACACAAAAAGAGATATGTAGTACTTAAAATGTCATAATGGGCTGAATTCTCATTTGCTTTTACACTAAATCATTTAAAGAAATCTTAAGTTACATTTTAAGATGCTTCAAATTATTTAGACATGTTTTTTGTAACTTTTCAAGCTCCAAGTTTACCAACATGTAAAATTGTATTTAAGATATTTAAAATGTTATATTTGGAATAGTCTTTTATTCTTGATGGAACAGTTTATATCAATAATAATAATCATCACAATAATAAGTGATAAGTAATATGGTAAAAATAAACATTGACACAAAGTAATATTATAATGAACACATTGTTTTTCATGAAACCATTGTACCAGTCGTAGTTGTGTGAAACTGGCTGGTAAGTCGGTGCCGCCCCTCAGAAGCTGACACCCTACAGGATTGACTGGCCCTGTGAAAGCACATATGCACTTGTCATGACATCTGTCCAGATTTATCAGTGATGAATAACATGAAAAGTAAAACACAAAGATTTTTTTTTAAAATGTCATTGTCATATAGTTGTCCCTAATAAGCAAAGCTCAGAAAAAGTATTTTAGGGCAAAGATCCACTTAAATATTTATGTTTTAATAGATACACTTTCCAAATTAAACCTCAGAGATAGTAAACTCAATACACTTTACGCACACATGTATGGACCCATAGAGACACCTGAATATTTACAGGGATGGAGATGTAGTGATATTTATTTGACTTGCAGTCAGTAAGATCATTAAATCATAAATGTTTGTAATTCCAGTAACTTATCTTGAATTGTAACAAAAGGGCAATGTAGATTTTATGCGTGCTGCTCTGGCTGTTTCTCTTTCTATCTCTTTTCTATGTCTCTACAATATCACCCCTCCAGGCTTGGCATTTCTCCAGAGCTCCCCCTTTAATTGTGTTAATGTCCACATCACCCCGCTTTATATGGTCCAGCTTTTTTCCTCCCCATGCTTGGATTTCAGCTGGTTGAGTTTGAGTTTCTTGTGTTTTATTGGCTGGGCTTGAGTTGCCTTTATTTTGGATAGTGTGAGTTGAGACTGGTTTGAGGAATATTGGGTTCAACGCCAGGGCCCCCTGCAGGCCACTTTTGAGCAGGGATTACGCCCTCTTATTGGTAGAACAGCTCCTCGTCCGAGTCCAACGGCTGGCACAACTCCATCCTCTGGCTGTCACTAATGGACATGAACCGGCAGGGCTTTTTTTCACATACCCTTCTAGATAATATGGCCCAACGCAAACATAAATAGTCTTAATACCTCATTTATTGTATCCATTTGTGATATGTGTCTAACAGAAAATGTATTCTGTAATTTATAATGTATTTAATCCATCCAACTCTCCTGCACTTTCTGTCACACATAAACATTGGTCTCTGCACATGAGAAAGGTACCCCTTAAACCTCCACTCCTACAATCCCTCCCCAGCAGAGGGCTATTTAAGGTCAGTTTACAAAATGAGAAAGGAACTTTCATACATGCAGTGGATACTGCTTTATCTCAAGCTATTAACAAGTGGTTCTTCAGATAATAACACACCAAAACACATTAATCTTCCAAACAAGAAAGAAATCTGTTATCCATTCTAAAATAAAATTCTGTTTGTTTGATATGATGTGATCAAGATGACTAAGACTGCTGTACAGACTGAGTACATTCTCATCATGATGCTGTCTTAATTGAACAGATGAGAAAATACTCTATGACTGGATCATGATGTTCGTGAGGTTTAAATAAAATTTACTTAGCATAAGACATCAATGATGCCGCAGTGTGATTCCATCTTAGATTGTCAATGTTTTGATTTCACCAAAAACCTTAAAGATATTTATGTATCAGCATTCAAACGATACATCCACTGCACTCACAGACCCACATAACACCTTGATCTTTTTTGACATATCTAAAATGCTAATTGTTTTATCCTGCATGGGGGTTGTAGTGGGGCCTGATAACTATCTCAGGCAGTATAAGGCACAGGGCATAGGAACACCAAAACCATCATATTGTGCACACGTACACAAACACATTTGTATTCAATTTTTCTTTGTGGGGACCATCCATTTATTTCTATGGGCAAAACCCTAATCCCCCACCCAAACTTATAACCTTCCTTAAGCAAAAATAACCAAACAAAATACATTTTTAGTTTTTTGATTACATTCACAGATCTTTGTGGGGACCTAAAAAATGGTGGTCATTGTTGACACACTTCAGCACACAACGAAATGTATCCTCTGCATTTAACTCGTATGTGACATGGCAGGGGACAGCTAATTCAACGCCCAGAAAGGTACGTTGCTCAGGGTACCTCAGTGGTGCCTTGCTGGTCAGGGATTCGAACCAGAAATCTTTCAATTATAAATGTGCTTCCCTAACCATTAAGACACCACTGCCTACCACTGTAAAGGTATTACAGTCAGTCTCATGACCTGACTGACCTGTAACCACTGAACTGAAATATGGTGCAGGTATTGATTACAAAGCATCTGCCCCTGATAAAGAGTCAATTAGACATCCTAATATGGTAACCACTTTCTCATTCTGCACGAAGTTTCCAGTATTCTCACTGAAATGTTCACTCCAGGGGTAGGTTGTTCAATTACTGAAAAAATAGTAGGGCACACTATTCTTGCACTCTCTGGGTCAGACAACTTGATCACTTTGCCAGATCAGACAACTGTGAGCCTACTCATCTTATATCAAGCATACCTCCAACTTTTACTTATTCTAAATACATGTATATGCATAAACCCAACCTGCATGGATTAGATGATCTGCAGTTTGGAAGTTGAGTATCTTGCCTTATCCAGAATGCAATTCTGTTTTGTATTATTATTAAAAGCCTTAGTTAAATATTACAGGATAAAAGAAGTGAGTTAATATAAAGGTAATGAAATGCCTGGAAGAGATTTTTGGTCGTTAAATGGATTCCAGACAGGATTAGAAGAGATTATATCTACTAGGCTTCTCCCATGGCATTGTGACCTGACACCCAGAACACTGACAAACTTCAGGGAAGAGACCTTATAAACAAGAAATTTATTAGAAAGTATATATGCTGGACACCCATGAGTGATTGTTGGGATTCAGTTAAACCCTACATTAACTTTTTACTCCTCCAAAATTTACTCTTTTATAAATAAATTCAAAATCAAAGTTTTGTTTTCACTATCTTCCATATCTTACGTATGTTTTTCAAGATTTTTGGTGTTTTTAATGACTCTGTACCTGTTGACATCAATAACACAGGAATTGGGAGCAACCTCTACCTTCCAGGTCTGCTGCAAGATTGGGCTACGTGACTTGCTTCACCACCCCAAATACTGCTGTAAAAAGACATCCTAGCACATAAAAGTAAAAAGACATCCTTGCACAAATTGACACCACTAGGATATCTTGTACATCTGCTAGGCTTAGCCAATTAAGGAGAACAACCTGTCCAATTGTAAATTTCTTAGCATCAACAGGTTCCTAAACTGCATTTTTCTGAGCATTGTGTGACCAGAAGGTCATCATAAATATTGAAGCACCCATATGCCTAACCATTGTGCACGAACAATAGACCTGCCTCCAACCTAATTTACTGTATTGTCTCTGCCCACATAGTTTATCTAAGTAGTGTGAAAGTGAGACTAGGCTGCAACTCTAGAGGCACAAGCCAAAAATGTTCCCTTGCACAAAGGAGTTTATCACTTCCTTATCCTGAACATGTAATCATCAGTACTGGTCCCAGTCTCACATTTCTGTAATTTGCAAAGTAGGAGAAACACAGCAATCTGAATCCTAAGACTGATGATCTCACTACTGAAGAATGAAGTGGACATTAGGTTACAGGACCATTCTGATTTTAGGAGTAGGGATTTAAATAAAGTATTCTAAAATCTCATTTTGTTTATCACCAAAACTTATTGTGTATGCACTCAATATTATTTTGTAATAAATGCATTTTAAAAAATTTCTTCTCCTCAAACCTCAAAGTTTTATTACTTAGCGAAGCGTAAATATTTGGTTAATATTTGGATATCATTTGATTGAATTTGTCTTTAAGATGTATTGTACTATGAGTCAATAATTTTGGAACGTATGCCAGACAGTAGTCCCCTAACAGGTCTAATTCCCTACATTAAGTCCATGCACACGTGCTTTTTGACAGAGATCTGTTTCTGCTTTGATCTTGCAGTGCAGGTTTGTGCTTTCAAAGCCAAGGGAACACGGGGCAACACGTGTCCTGCAGGAGCCAATATGGTCCTCCTGCTCTAGACAAAGGGCCTGTTTAGAGCAGCCTCTTGCTTCCCAGCAGGGAGCTACAGTCAAGGGGGTGGTGGGGGGGGGAGTCTCTGCATCTGGGTCTGCTCATATATATAAACAGTCCCTGAGCCGTAAGTCGACCTAGACTCAAATTGAAGGCTTAATTGGCAGCCAGCTCCTGGTAGGGGCTCATTGTTCTGCCGAAAGAGGCTTAGAAGCCTGGTCCAGAGCACAAGTCATTAATAACCACTGAGAGGGTTAGAGAGAGAAAGCTGTGTGTGGCAGCTTGAAGGCCAACAGGAAGCAGCAAAGTGAGTGACTTCTCCCCTGGTCTTCTCTGTATGACAGTGAGAGAGGCTGTGACTCAATCAGTTACATGGAACAGCAGGTGACAATAATTTATCCTCGAATCTGTGAGAGAGAACTGGAACCAGTCACTGACTAAGGAAAGGATTTGGTGACAGCAATTCATCTGTGAGTGTAGGTCACTGATTAGTGCAGGTGCCTGGCTCATTCACTAGAGATAAAATACTATAAAATAGGTGGAATATTGATTGATGATACAATATGTGGCAATTTATCATAATACTAGAACATAACTAAGGTAATTAGTTATGTACTAACAAGATCAAGGAAAGTGGAAGGAAGAGCCAAAACTTTACAAAAGCTATAGAATGCTTGATTGTTTGTTTGGTGTCCGGTGTGTGAAATGATCCTCCCACAAGGAGTCACTGTAAATGGATTTCCACTTAACAACATGCTGTGGGCTGTCAGCATGCCATGATTGTTGCCCAACAATCCCTGTACCAACAGCCCCTGTCATTAGTTCTCTCAGCAGGCAGCTAGCATAGAAAAGGCCTAGCACGTGGACATCTGTGCTGGGGCCACAGGGTTACACTCCCAGGTACTCCACCTGTATGGCAACCTCATTACTGCCCTTGGTGGGGGCAATTAGTACTCCAACTGTCTGGTAAGGCTAGAAGGGGAAAGGGTACCTAGGCAGGATGGAATGACAGGCCGTCTCTGCCAGTAAAGCTGCAAGACTACCAGGCTGTTTAGAGAACAGCACATGCCCAGTAAACTGTAGAATTAGTGTCAAGAATAGCTATTGCTGCTGCCTCTTGATCTTCCCCTTCACATCCACTATTGCCTGTCAGTATGCTTATCTTCCATGATATCATAGACTGCATTGAGAATGGGCCCAGTTAATCTGGTCCCATTAACATATCTACTTGTTCCTTTTCTTGTAGTTTATTTTCAAAATGAGTATGGTTCCTATAATTCAATTTTGATTTATTTTTATACATAGCACTTTTCACAACAGAGTTGCCCCAAGGCACTTTAAAATATTATATGATGGTACGATTATAAAAATAACATACTAATAATTTAGAGTACAACTTAAGCAAATGCATTTTTTTCAGTATCTTTTCAAGTATTCAGGTAGTCATAATTGTAAATTGTTTTTGTAAATTTCATATATTAAAAAAGTATGCAAACACTGCTACATTTCATATAACCACACACAATAATATATTGTACACCATTCATAATAATCTCTCATGGTCAAGCAAACAAAATTAGCAAAATTATAAATTAAATTATTAATATGTACAATGGAAAAACCATGTACAATTATACAAACATATATTAAAGCAAAAGACACTCACATATGCAAAGTTTATAATACTTAGAGGAACAGGAAAGAAAAGACTTAACAGTTTATTGTCAGTTAGTGAAGTAGGGCGTAAACCCTAACATCAACGCCCCCGCCTAAATTTCTGCTTGCTCAGAACAGCTCACAATGCCATTGTGAAATTGTGAAAGTGTCCTATTTTTCTGCCAACAAAAAGCTTCATAGGAAGAGGAATATGTTTTTTTTGTCCATGGAAACCTGTCCAACCACTGGCAAAAGGCCAGTTCACATTGAACTACACCAAAATCAGTTTGAAAGCACAATGAGACTTAACTAAATAACAATAAGAATGAAACAATAGGGATCCTGCAGCTAACACTGCTTCAACGCCTTATAAATACAGAAAGCAATGAGTTACAGAGCCACTGAGAACTAATCAAATTGTGACAAGGACAGTCTTCAAACCACAATGTTAATACCTTGAAACACCACATCAAGAAGAGTTGCTAACCACAGTGAGCACAAACAATGACAAGAAAAAAAACAATGGTTAGAAAATATGAGCCACAATTGGAACATACTGAATTTCTTTAACCACAATGAAACACCCAGTCGACTGACCATAATGATTTGGTCCTTGTCAGAATCACTCAGATCTTTACCCCTTATCTTCTGCATTCAACAGGTTGACTGTGAGTACTGAATGTTAGTCTAATGGTTACAGGTGTGCACTTGTAATCAAAAGGGTGCTGGTTTAAATCTTGGACCAGTAAAGCACCACTGAGGTACCCTGAGCAAGATACTGCTCCTTGGGCACTAAATAAGCTGCCCCTTGCTACAGTATGTCACGGTGCGACATATGAAGAGGTTAAATGCAGAGGACACATTTCGTTGTTGTGCACCATGTGCGGTGATGTGTTAACAATAATAACTAATCACTTTCCCCTAAATACAGTGTTTATCAAACCAACTCATAGGGACCCCCAGACAGTCTATGTTTTTGCTCTGTCCCAATCCCCGGGGAGTTGGGAGAGAGCAAAAACATGGACCATCTGGGGTTCTTGAGGACTGCTTTGAGAAACCCTGGCATAAAATATCTAAGACCTTCACACACTATTTGTTTTTACAAGATAGCCAACATTATTCACTTCACATGAGGATAGTCTTAATGTTTTGATTCATTTGTGTATGAGTACAGAATGTAAGATGAAATAGTGTGCTCTTGTATTTCCATTTAAATTCTTTACATTTTTGCGACTGCTGAACTGGTGGAAGGCATACAATTGTAATAGTCAGGTGTTCAGGTGTTGCCTAGGTCTAACTACACTAGATTTAAAACTAAACTTCGAAGGCTAAACTTTCTTTCTTTCTTGAAAAGAAAGTCTGGGAGCAGACATTCACTAATCACCCAACTGGTTATTTAGTACACTATCCCAGGAAATATGACACAACGTACAGGCACGCCAGTCAAGTTATTGTAAATGCAATATATCATGGCATTCAAAATATATCATAGGTAAAATATTTTCAGTTGCTTTGCATTTATTTTATGTATAGATTATTATTATAATTATTATACCTGAGAATATGTGCCCTCCTTTATTTCGTAATGACGTATAAAACTAATAAAGCATCTCTATGCGCTTGTCGCAAGTTCGCATTACAGCCCGTACAACTATGCGTTAAAATGTAGAAAGACTTTCTGTATTTTTTGAAGGCTAAATTATATTTATATTATAGTTCATTACTGGTTTTTTCCTTTTGGCCTTTTTGCTCATGAAATCAACTTCATCTTGATTAAATTTGTCACATATTATGCCATAAATTTACAAGAGTTAAAGAAACCATTGAATCCACTTGTTCTGATCTCCTCTACGCCTTGATTCATTTAAAATGCTAATGTATCACTCGACGATTTATACCTTTGCTTTATTAAGGAATATTTGTATTTTCTATATCTATACAAAAATCACATATAGACCTGATATTTGAAATTCGACGTACTTGGGATTTCCCTTCATTAGCGCAGTAATGTACAGCTGCCCCATGAGTAGAAATTCATAAATTAATTTTGGATTAAATTGTAGAATAATCATGTTGGTGTTTGCTCTCAGTTTCAGATTTAGAGTGTTAAATGATCACGTCACAAAGTCGACATCTTTACACCAAATCAGATTGCTGGGCGAAAGTACTTAGAGCGTCATTGCTTCTGGATCAAGATTAGAGCTCACCTCCCCCGATCTGTTCAGTTCTCAATAAAGGTTTCAAGAGTAAGTAAGGTCTTCGATCTCTTGGCGTTTGCTCATGCAGCGAGTGCTCTCTACAACATGGTAAGTGTATCACTTTAGACTGTACTACTTACTCACTGCTTCAGTGTACTTGTACATACAATTCGATGTTATAAATGTCTTATACATTGCGACTTTATGTGCACCTGTTCCTGATGTATTGCCACCATTGCTGGCAAATATACAGTCCTATAATGTGGGTTTTATGAACGAAGAATCTGCTGTCGTATATTTTGAAATTTTGTAGCTCTTTTATTTGAATAGTATTATAAAGCACGTCATGTGTAATGATGCGCGTAAACTAAATTCTAAGTGATTGTACTCCAGCTTTCTAGGCATCAAGCAGAATATGACTGTAATATCACTAACGATTATCATGTTACAGTAAAATTTCCTAATAAGTAACTGTATTGTTTAATACATTCCTTTTGAATTTTTCTGCCGATTAGGAATCTTAGTATGTACGAATAATGAAATACCTAAAGTGTCCAAAACACGTATAGAACTCTCCGTACTTAGACAAAAAAGATTTAGGTTTTAGTTTATTTGATAAAAACTAATTTTATTTCAACATAATTTTTTTCAACTTTTTAAATTTATAAATATATTTAATGCAGGAAGTTTTATATTTCGTGACAGCATGAATTTCATTACTTGAATTATGAAATGGCTTTTTAAGGTACAATAGTCTTTATATGAGTCTTCATAATGAACCTGAGCAAGGTCTCCTGCTGCAGTAATATTTTAGATAATCTTAAAAACATTTATGAAAGCGAAATGATCTGCTTTCAATCATCACTATCCTATAAGGGATTCAAGATATATTTAATCAGTCAAAATCAAATCAAATCAAGCCATTTTTAGTAGGTTAAAGTCTTGCATTTTCTAGATGATGAGCATACTATTTCCCTTTACAGAGCACCGCTTTATCTTGCCAAGATGTGAGCTTTGTAGGGGGCCAGCGTTACGACGGCCCCTATTCCATCATGACGTCACTGGATAGTGTTGACGTTTCCAGGGAAACACTTGACTCTTATTGGTCCGCTGGTCCCCTGGACAACACAGCTTGCCAGCACGAGCCTCCCCAGCAGGGTAAATCTTTTGATATTAAATTTTCTTTGCCGTAATATACACGATTTTCCGTTGTCTATGGCGGTGCAACTAGCAACTACTAATTGTCAGTTTTCTAAAATGGTAATACTGTTGATGTTGTGATGCCACATTTATTTCATTTAGTGCAGTGTTTTTGAATATTGTTTTCTATTAAAGATGTATTTGTCCATAGATACCATCAATCTTTTGAATTATGTGACAGAATCTAGCCCTCACTGGACTGATCTTTCACCACAACTTTTGAGAAACAAGCAGGTATTAAGACTTTCCTATTGTTGTTGTTGTTATTGATGTTGTCATCCTAAGTTTCTTATTCATGATTATGATGATGCTGATGTTATGCTACTATTACTACTACTACTACTACTAATAATAATAATAATAATAATAATACTGTTGTTTCGATAGTATTGAACAATATTTAAGGGATTATGGATGGTTTTCCAGTTATATATATATATATATATATATATATATATATATATATATATATATATATATATATATATATATATATACACACACATAAATATATTTAATTATTTATTAATTTACTTTTATTAGCTTCAGGATATACTTTTGCAAAGAGAAGAAGAGCTGGCACGGTTGCATGAAGAAAATAACAAGCTTAAAGAATTTCTGAATTCTTCATTTGTGAAATGCTTGGAAGAGAAAACAAAGGTGGGAAGAACAAAAATTTTAATCAAAGCAAATTTAATGAATGTTTAATACATGGTGAATGATGAGGATTGTTTTTTTTTTTTTGTATTTGGACTTGTAACAGTTTCTTTTTCTTTGAGAGACTCAGACCACTGTAATTTGTTAACTCTGTAATAGAACTGAGGTGCTTTTCCTGAAACCTATTTAACGCTACATCATTCGTAGTGATTAGTCATTAGTTGTCTCTTAATGCTCCAACGTGTTTCCCAAAACGTTCTTAGTTATGTATATCTTTTAGATTCTTTCGTAAAGTCGGTCTGAGCCCCTCTTAGCTGTCTCTTATCGCTGTTGTCAGCTTATACTGCTCATGTAAAATAAGACAAACATTTTGTTAAGGCTACAATTTCATAACGAAACATCACCTAAAAAATAACTGACAAAATGATATGACATGATATGTCCATATGACAAAATGATTTTGTCTGATACATGATAGGTTATTGACCATATTTGATAGGTTTCATCCTTGCGCTCTGTGCAGCAAATTGGCCTCAGTAATGCACGGATTCATAATGAAAGATAAGTGATGCGGTGTTGATTATGTATTTATTTATTAATTGGGAAGGGGGGAGGTTTCTTCTGATATTCTGGTGGACGTATTCCCCCTATTTCCAACGCCTCTGGAATGCACACACCTCTCTAAATGTGCCAAAGTCACAGTATGTCAAAACTTCATGGTTTATGAGGTTGATAAGATTCGACACTGCATGTTTATTTACTTGTAAGTCTAATATGATTTCCCCAAAATATCACCCTGGAATAGAGAAGTCTACACTGAAGCACATAGGACATTCTGTTAAGTTAAGAAACTTTTCTTTCGGCTATTGTGCCATTGCCCGTAATAGTATCAAAGACATGCACACATATTGGTGCATGCAGGTGTTTAATAAAACAAATACAAATAAAATGTTGATTCTACAGTCTGGGGAGGTGGGTTTGTACACCCAATTGGCAAAAATCATATTTACGATTAGATGATTCAATTTAATTTAAATAATGATAATAATAATAATAATAATAATAATAAATCATATTTATGATTAGATTATTCTATTTGTGAATTTTGTATTTTTTAAGGTTATCCCCAGTTCTGATTAGTGCAATATTTTGAAAGATTCCTGCAGTGTTTTTTATTTAAAAAGAAAACTACTTTCTTTCATGCGGCAATCAAGCAGTTGCTGCAATAATCAATTCTCGAGCCATTGATGTCAACCAATCAGATCATCCAGTGCCTATTAATGTCACACTTAAGCTCTCCCTTAAACAATCTCTTAAGAGATTATTTGTGAAACTGATGTAGGAAAAGAAATCCCTTTCGTAAGATATATTTTTAGACACTAAGACTCATCATTATCGGGAAACGCACCCCAGGATGTTCACAACAAGGGATCTACAATGATTTTTATTGTGTTGGACATTTTCCTTCTTACAGAGTATAAACTCTGGCATTGGAAATATTCTGTCTTACACACACTGAGGTTCTTATAATACTATTTTTCCCTCACAGATAGTACTATCTGCTCAGACAGGATATGCCAAAAAGAGCAAAAAACGGACACGCGAGGATGAAGGAAGATTATATCCCAGCCATTTTTTTTCTGCCACTCAGGGTAAACGAACACTTCAAAACCTCTCTTTGGATTTCTGCCCCACAGAGGAGCGGGCTGCTGCCCCACCTACCAGCCCCTGCCTTCTGCAGACTCTACCTTTGAGGAATCAGGACTCAATTGACTCATCCAAATTCAACACCAGTAGTGACCCTTGCATTTACAGGAGCCCCACAGTCAGTCCTTCATCTCATTGCGATTCCGGGGTTAACAGTGACCCTTCCAGCTTCTTCAACTCCCCAGCTAACCACTATTCTACCTACAGTGTCGACATAAATTCATTGCCACATGGCAATGTCATCAATACTGAAATCCAGCAAGCCGCACAGCCAGATTTCCTGTTTAAATCTGATGATCTGGAGAACTACAACCTGGTATCAACAGCCTTGCTAGAAGTCCACACTCCATACTGCCTCAAATCTAATAATACACCACAGACACATCATCGTCTTCTAGGGAGCAACATTGCTCAGTGCTCCTCCCCATACACTCCCCAGGGCAGGACAGATTTAGCCTTCACCATGTCCTTGAACCCTTCCAGTGGTGTGAGGACGCACAGTTATCCTCAGGGACAAGCTTTTGTCAGAAGAGACACACATGGGGGCTGGAACTTTACATGGATACCCAAACATGTGCACTAGCTGTGTGTCACTATACACACAAAACAACAAAAGACATACAAGCAAAGGATACAACTATAAAAAAAGGATACAACTATTAAAAAAAAAACTGTTTTCAACGCTGGTCTTAGCAATTCTGTTTGAGGAATATCTGAAAAGAATAATTATTTATAAAGTTATAAAGTATAAAGTAATTGTCCATCAAAATGAACAAATAGAAAATTTTATGTCAGCAAAACTTATGAATTAAAATTCTAAGGACGTTTAAAGGTATTTCTGTGAATTAAATACATTTACTTTATTGGACTATAAATGATGAAAATATTTGACTCAATTAAAATTCCTTATTTATTGTATCACAACTATTAATTATTAATTAATTCATAAATAAATTTATTTTAAAGGGCATTCCTTAAATTTTTCCTTATACCATTTTTGATATTGCGTGATTAATAACTTAAATATTGATTACTTGATTGATTACTTGATCAATAACCCAAATGCAAAACAATTCTTAAGTGAAGCAGTTTGACTTTGCTTGAACCATGTAATTCATTCATTCATTAGCTTAACTTAACCTTAAAAAACACAGATAAAATGTGTGCTAATATAATTCAGATTGGTTAAACTACCTCACAATTCAAAAGTCATGCACTTCTGTGATGACAAAGATATGAACACAATTTGCTCTGTATACTGTTCCAAGTTTTATACGTCTCCTCAGAATGTTCTGCTATATCTTTACTGTATACTTTGCTGAAATTTCAAACAGCATATACTCTATTATCTTTGTAATAATTTGTGATATACATTCTAACTGTTCTGCTCTGTACTCTTCTGTGCAGTTTTTTGTGATGTCTGTTACGTACTCAATCTATATTTTATCTTGGTTCTTCAGTCATTCTACAGAAACATTATAATCAATAGTCATTACAGCTTTCAACTCTTAGAAAGCCATGCACCATAAAAAGTGATTAACAAATGTGTCTAGAAACTTGCTAACTGATAGATTTAGTTCACAACAATAACATAGGAACAGAAATTTCTAAACTTCACATTATATTACTGAATATCTACTTTGATTATCTGAAATTAATTATTAATTATTATTATTAATTATCTGTTAAACTATAAGTGGTCTAATTTAGACTCCTTACTGTATTGTGTGATATGTGATTAACTTAGCAGGAATGTCTGTACCAAACTGCGTACCACTAAAATATTGCAATTGCAAATAATTGTAAATCATTGGATTTCTAATCAATGCTATTAACTTTAAATATGATTAAATATTTAAAGTATTTAAAAATAGGTTAAAATGTTGATTAATGGATTTCATATTTTGAATGTATATAAATTTGTTTATGAAATGCATTTTCCATATGCAGTATTCAATTTCTTTTAAATACTTTATCACTAGCTATCTGTGATTCTTTTTTGGTTTATCCATGTAGTTTTATTCTTTTTTACTTTAATTTAGAAATCTAATACATTTTTTCAAACATAATCTGAACATAATTTATGTAACAAGTTCAAAGTATTTTATATAGTTGCACACTAGGAGCAGGGAAATAAAAAGGCGAGCAAAATACATTTGTAATTTTTCTAAGTATGATTTAAATTGCCCTGGTACAATCAATATTCCTTATTATATTTAAGATTCATTTTTGTTTTTATGTACACAATATTTTCCTGTTGCTCCATTGTGTTCAGGCTCATAACCCAAGTTTATAGTTTGGTAAAATGCAATTTGATTCAAGATTTATTGTCATATGTATTAAATATAGAATGTACTAAAATACAATGAAATTCTTATTTGCATGTCTGCTCACAGCCTGACACTTAAGCGATACTAAATATAAGTATAAACGATGTAGCAGCAATGAAGATGTACATAAATATGACATAAAAGGACAAATAAATATGACAACAGTATGACATGTAGCAGTAATAGCGTACAGTAATATGATGATATAAATAACAATGTCAACAGTATAACCAGATAGCAGCAGTGGGGATGTGATAACAAAAGAATAAAATAAAAGTAACGGCAACAGTATAGACATACAACAACAGTACAGCATAAGGTAATAGTGGCAGTGTGAGGAAATGTTAATATCATTGGCTGTTTATTTGTCTTACTGGGAAGAAACTGTCTCTAAATCTGGAAGTATGTGTGCGGCTGTACTTTAGGCACTTGCCAGAGAGTGAAAAGTGGCAATGCTTGGAGGCTGAAGTCTCACTTTCCTGAGGCAGCCCATAAAGAAGTCTGATGTCTTGAACCACCAGAAGCTGTGTGCCCATGATTTTCTGTGCTGCCTTAACCACACTCTGCAACTTTCAGTTATGTGCTGAGCAGCTGCCATACCAGGATATGATACATCTTGTGTGGATGGACTCCGCAGCTCCCCTGAAGAAGCTGGTCAGGGCTATAGGAGAAATTGAAAATTACATTTAAAAGTTATAAAAATATAGATATAAAAGTCTGAACAGCACAGACTCAAGCATTTCAACCAGCTGGACACAAGTGACACAGATGACTATGTTTCACTGTCTCTGCATGAGAACCAGCGCAGACTCCAGCATTTCAATCTGCAGGTTTCTAATACCAAACACAGGTGACCATGTTTTATTGACTTTGTGTGACTTTGTGTGAGAACCAACATAGGCTCGAGCATTTCAACCAGCCAGTCCCATACACCAAACACAGGTGACGATGTCACATTGATTCTGTGTGAGGACCTACACAACCTCAAAAATTTTAATCAGTCAATCCCTTATATAACACCTGTCTAAGACCAAGAAGTGGGTTTTTTCCCTCAACACTATAGAACAAATGAGGCCCTCGACTTCCCTAGAGACATCCAGCCAACCCACTCTATTGATAGGTTGGGGGGATTCCCAAAATCCCTTGAGGGAATATTGAGGTTTGGAGAGTACAGGCAGAGAGTGACTGGCCCATCCTTAATGATACAGTTAAACCCCTCCCAGATGTCCACCAGATTGATTCTGTGAGAGAAGTGAAAGGGGGAGCCTCCAGAAAAGGGTGAGAGAGAGAAACAGGTTAGGAAGAACATGTCCCTCTGTGTTCCTGTTCTGTACTGGGCAGAAAAAGGGCTCATTAAGCAACAGCAGAAATTCAATCCTGGTTTTTATAGAGGAGGCCAATGTCACCACCTACCCCTATTAGAAGCTTCTTCATAGTATCTCCGTTTTAGAACTATAAAACTTATAGGTATAACCTATGGAGGGTAACAATATTTAATAAATAAATCTAATTTAAATGATTATTAATAAATATGACAATTAAATGATTATTTAAAGTATAATTAAATTTACATTCAAATTACTATTTAAATAATAGTTTAAAAAGTTATTTAAATGATTGTTTAAATGACCATTTAAATGATACCAGCAACCATTATAATCATCTAAGGCACCCAACAAACTCAGTTAGGCAGGCTCCAAACAAAGCATAACGCCTGTTTGGTTACATTCATAGGCATCTCTAGACCTCTTTTACAGGGGCACGTGCCCCAATATTTATGTTCTGTGACCCTATAAAATATCTCAGGTTCAATTCATATGGGGGATGAGGGTGGGGGGGGAGCTTTATGTCTAGCAACGTCCCTGGTTACATTGCAAACTAAGGCCTTGTCCACAGGTACATGGGTATTTTTAAAAACATTGTTTTTCCTCCTCCATTATTAAAAAAATCCCTTGCAAACAAACACTCCACATGAAAATGCTACAAACGCGCTTTCAAGAGCATACTTGCCTAATGTAAACATTGAACGGCACACACTGATGTCAAACTAAATGGATAATAGGACACATTCTGACGTTACAAGCCAAAACTCCATTTTCCCTGTCTACACTTTGACGCTGAAAACAGAGTTTCTGAAACTCTTCACCCTGTACAGAGTTTTGCCGTTTGCATGTGCCCAAAAAAATATCCGTGTACATGTGGACAAGACTTAAATCACAACAGGTCACTCTCACCTAATTGATTGAATTTTGGTTTATAACCGCATTTTGTCTGTTCCAGGGGCTGTATACATCCTAACTTCCCAAAATCCTAAATAAGCTCTTGTAACTTTAGGATAACTGGTAAGTAATTGTACATATCATGACTTAAGACAAGAAATGTATCGAAGCATGATACATACTGTATCCTCATCAGACCCAAGGAAAAAAAGTGTCCTTCAATTTTAGGTTATTTGTCTTTGGAGGAAATATTAACTCATGACTCAAAAGCGAATAAATGCATCAAAGTATTAGTCAGTTCCAACAAAATGAAAAGTACAATTAGCATCGTTTTAACCATGAGAGTCAAAATGCTTAGATATACTGTTAGAATGTTAGTACAAGTATGCTCCCGAACTCCACAATTCTGATAGTTGGTTCCCATATTCTCATTGTCAGTGACTGGTCATTTTTCATTACCAAACTGCTACTTATTCATGTCAAAGACACCACTTTAAACTTTGCAAGGCTCTACATTACAATATGTATTGTTCAATGGCCAGAGAAAGCACTTGCACGCACATGTAACTTCTTCAGAGTGGAAGACAGTACAATAGCAAACAAAAAACTCACACAGCACTGTATAAAACAAAACAGCAAAATGGCAACAAAATCATGTATTGTAGGAACTAAAAAGACAATGCTGCCTCACTGCAATTTATGGAATGTATTTTTACAGTTTCCTCAGGTGCTTAATTACATTGACCAAGCCATTAGTGCATATTGTCAATTCCAAATGCAAACATTCTTGCTCAACAGAAAACACCTTAACATTGCTTGCACATCTTTTTTCATTACAGAAGGACTTTTTGCAAAACACTAGTCACAGTGATCATCTAGTAACAAAATCATATGGGAATGACTCATCAAGCTAGTCACTATCAATGGCAGTAGCTGCTAACACCCTGCTCCAATCCCTTTTCCTGAATTAGCCCAAACTGGCACTTGGTTAACTACATCCTGCAAATCTAAACCACTCAAGAGCTGCTAACACAGTATAAAAGTTGTGGTAATTTGGTTTAATTTTTAAACACAAAACTGTCATGGATCTGGACAGGTTTAGAGCATGGATGAGGCATAGTAGGTCGGAACAGAAATGTGGACGACCCACTTGCGCCTCATG